CTTGGAAAAAAGAAATTTGTGTTCTAGGGGAGTCATGAAACAAAAAATTCGGTGAGCTAATGACATGACAACTAAACACGTGTGATATACATTCTATGCACATGTCAACTTAACCTTTAATTGTAAAAAATCAAAAATATTTAACTATTAATTATTATAATTTGAAACGTTTAGCTCTTAGTTGAAAAAGTGCTCAAACATTCATTCCTAATTTAAGCATTTAACCAAATAAGTGTACACTGAGGGAGAACCGTTGTTAATAGATGCACACTTATTTTCTAGAACTTGTACGAATAATAGGTGTTGAGGCATAATTTAGGTCAAATATCGTTTCATTTCAATGATAAATCGTACAAATCAAGCTGCATCAGATATTATTTAAATATATACGAGTCATTCTAATGAAGAATATGAATTCATATATGTTCAGGTGATCATTTTTAAATACCCATCACATTTTTATTTGTTAGACGATTTACATAATAATTTCTCCTTTACTGACTGCATTACTAAGAAAAAGTAGAACCCAAGCTTGCCTTTAAATATACCAATATATATTTATATATTATGTATATATGTATGCATGTATGCAAGTTTAAAGAAAAAAGATAAGAAAAGTTAGGAATCTAATTTTTAAGATAATTAATACTATACCTTTTTTTTTCTTCAAAAAATCATGTTGAACCAGATACCCTTTCAAATTCATAAGAAAGCTTCCAGAGTAAAGTTCAAAAAAGAGAAAAAAAAAACATAGAATAAACCTTCATTCTAATAACTAAAGGTATAAATTAATACACTTTCAGGTTTCTACAAAAAGGTTCAAAAAAAAAAAGGGCATAGAATAAGCCTTCAAATTCTAATAACTAAAGGTATAAATTAATGAACTTTCAGGTTTCTACAAAACGATATGAAGAAAAAAATAATAAAAAGCATAGAATAAACCTTCAATTCTAATAATTAAAGGTATAAATTAATAAACTTTGAGGTTTCTACAAAAAGATATGAAAAGAAATAATAAAAAGCATAGAATAAACCTTCAGTTCTAATAACTAAAGGTATACATTAATAAACTTTCAGGTTTCTACAAAAAGATATTAAACAAAGAAATAAAAAGGATAGAATAAACCTTCAATTCTAATAACTAAAGGTATAAATTCTAATAACTAAAGGTCTAAATTAATAAACTTTGAGGTTTCTACAAAAAGATATGAAGAAAAATAACAAAAAGCATAGAATAAACCTTCAATTCTTATGGCTAAAGGTAAAAATTAATAACCTTTGAGGTTTCTACAAAAAAGATAAGAAAAAAAAAATAATAAAAGCATAGAATAAACTTTCAATTCTAACAACTAAAGGTATAAATTAATAAACTTTCAGGTTTCCATAAAAAGGTATGAAAAAAAAAATAGTATCTTTGTATGACTGGATAATGATGATCATTATCATTGGTGCAAACATATTTCAGAGCTTTATTTCCAGCATCCAGGGTGAAAGTGACATCTGCCAATAATGATCATGTTGATAGTGTGGGCACAACATTTCTCCCCCTGCTACTTAATGGATTACAATACTAACTATTGCTTCTTCTTTTAGAACCTGAAACTTATGCTACCTTAATTGGATAGGAGGGAACAAACATGGTGGCAGGAAAAAGGAGGAGAAAAATTTCATATTCTTTCTTTTTGGTAAAAAAGGGAAGCTACAAGAGATAAAGTGAACAAATGACAATGTGAGGAGAAAAAAAATAAAAATAATGTGAGGAGCAAAAAAATAAAAATAACAGGAACACACATTTATTCAAATAAAATCAATTATCTTAGTTTTTGTTTTGTCTTTACTTTTTTTTTTATTTTCATGTTTCATCTCTTCTACCAGACACAAAAAAAAGGAGCTTATTTTTCTTCTTCTTTTCTCCTTCTTCCTACTTATTTTCAAATATTATATTGTTAAGACTGAAATAAAACTCCTATACATATGAAAAAATTGAAGGGATTTGAAGGATTAGAAGAATAATTAAATCGTAATCATCTTAAAAAAGAATAATAATCGTTAGGTTAAGCCTAAGATGCGATAGATTCAACTAATTTCTTTTGATAGATATTTTTGCGATTAAAATATCAAATTATTCTCCTCTGCCTTTTATTTTCTAAATCTTAAACAGAACTTGTAAAGACACCCACCCACTTGATGAGAAGGAATTTTTTGGACAAAATTAAGTAAAAAAAAAAGAAAAGAAAGAATTTACAGTGATTAGATAACTTTAATTCAAGCATATGGAAACACAACAAGAACCTTTCCTCCGAAAATTGTACTGATGAATGATCAACAGAACATGTTCCTGCCAAAAACATGTCATGTCAAAAAAGCAGCTCAACAAGACCTTGTTTTGAGGAATCTTAATCTCATATACATGTTATTTAGCTACAAAAGAGCCAAGGGTACTTAATAGTTCATTCCACATACCAACAAAAAAGAATGTAAATTTTACTGTACTGAGATTTGAGAAGACATATATATCCCAAATTACTTCATGGGTTATTGCTATAAAAGGCTTCAAAGGTTGAAGAAATCAATGAGAAGAGAAAAAAAAAAAACTTGGGGGAGGGGAGTGGGGGATATTTGATGTACTTGAATTTGAAAGCAAAATCTTACAAGCCATGTGTTCGATTCTGTGGCTATATAAGTAGGCTAGAGCTTTTAGTACTATTTGTGGTGTACAGCTTTTACACTGTAAGGAATAGTAATCTCATGCTCGCACCTTTATTTACCTTTATTTGGGTCCCCTTTAGCCTTTAACTTTGATCATGCAACTGAACATAAACTCACTCTTTTTTGGCCCTTTTCCTTCTATTTCCAAATCGCCCTTTCCAAAATATATAAGACAGAAAGGAAATATAATAGCTGATGAGTTTGGTGCAAAGAAAAAATGGTGGGGGAAAAAGAAAAGAGAAAGGCATAAAAGTGAGAAAAAGTTCTTCCATCTCAGGTCAGGGTTCCAATATTCAGTTCCTGCATATCTTTTTAGATGATATCCAATTAAACCATCAACTTGTTATTTTGGTCCAATCAAGCTTAATCTGAAATGGAAAATCCTAATACAAGTAATGATTTAATTAATTAAGTTTTTGTATGACAGTTGCTTACAAAATTGAGCAAGAGAGCCTTTGCGGTTGTAGTTTAATTTCTTTTATTTTTCTTACAATTGGATTTAATTGGTTTCTAGTTTTTTTATTCAATAACAATTTCTATTTCTTTTGATTTTGTCTGATATACGACAGCACAAGTGATTTAATTGAGTCGTGTATGACCTCTAAATTAGACAGCATCTTGATATTTAATCAAATAAAAAAATTTAAAATAAAACATTTGATTCAATACTAAATATATGTACTCTTTTAGATTGTTTTTAACTCGTATCAATTAAAGCTTAATATCCGTTACTTTTTTAACAAATACTTCATACTATAGGCACCGATTATTATGATTTCTTTATGGAATTAATAAACAGATTCTATAAATGAAATAACGATGGCCAGTGAATTGGAAAAAATATTAATAAAAGAGAAATGAATGAATTTTAATATTTGGTTTTATTTTGGTTTAATAAAAGAAATCGTTTTTGTACAACTTGATTTCAAAATGGAGAATCTAAATTAGTCTAAATTGAACAGAATTGAATAGAATTGAGGTTGTTTTTTTAATTTTATCTTACATGAAATTCAGGGTTTTGACCCCCTTTTAAATCCAAATATGTATGATAAAAAAAATCATTACAAATTTAAAATGCTTTGGTTTTGCTTAATTTCGTTATTTATTTTATTTTTAATACTCGTAATGAATGCATGCAGAAAAGCTTAAACAATGTATAATTCATGCAAGAGAGATAACGAGCCATGCACCACAAACTGAGTCAGATCAGTCACAGGAAGAATTAACCGAGTCCTATAATTACCAAACTCAGTGTTCTTTGAAGAACAAAAGAAACACGTGGAGAATAACGAGTTGAACCCAACATAATGCATTTCTTAACAAAACTAGTAACCAAAAGAGAAGAAAAGGGCATTTTAGTTAGAAATAAATAACAAATTAACTATTACTTTGAGTAAACAAAATACTTGAGAAAAAATATATTATATTTTTAAAAAAATTAAATTATTATAGATAACATAAATAATTATTTTTCTTTCAAATAAACTCAAAATGTTCTAATTGATGTTATATTTTCATTATAAATAAATATAAAATTTGCTATTATATTATTTTTTTTAAAAAATTAATGTTGAAAGAATATTTCCTGAAATATTTCATTTACATAACTTAAATAAATTTTGAAAAAATTATGATATATAATTTCACATTCAATAAAAATGTATTGGTAGAAATTGCTGATTTATTAATTTTTTATTGTCAAGTCAATTCCGTGTCCAGTTATTTTTTTTTATATTATTAGCTCATAAAAAAAAACTATATTGCGTTATTTATGTTTTTCAGAACTCGACCAAAACAAAAGTATATATGATGGGAAAATTCAAGGTAATCAAAGCGTAATAATACAAGTCAACATTACGTCATAGATTAACGAAAAGTTTTGATGTTTATCTCTTTAATTATTTGTTTATTTTTAAATAAATAAATAAATTATAGTTTTATTTGTTTGGTTTTGCTTTAAAAAAATAAAAAAAGGAATGATAAGTAACAGAAAGAATGAAGCGGATGAAATATTCGATTCGTTATATCATATTTAGGCTTTTACAGCTATAGAGAAACAACCAGTGTTGATTGTGGGTTTAAGACTTGATTATTATCCAAGCTGCTTGTGTTTCCTAATTTCGAGTGCACAGCGTCGTCAACTTGCAAGCAAAGCAAAGCAAAGCACTGCGCTTGCACATGGACTGTATATATATATATATATAGCAACCCTTTAAAGCCTTGAGTGACTCAAGACCAACAATCCCAACATCTATCCCCTTTCAACCTTTCCTTCTTCCTTCTCTTCTTCAATGGCTTCTGTTCCTCAGTTCTACTCTAATTATTCCTTGTCCAATGATTATTCTCAGTTTCAAAATCCATTGTTGATTTCCCAAGATAACTATATTGGTTCTGCCGGTGCAATTCCTGGTGCAGCCTGGGGAGATCAAGAGATTGGTTTTCCAATGTTTTTAGACAACGGTGGTGGACTTGATGCTCCGCCGCAAGAACCTAATATAACATCTCCAGTTCCAGCAGCATTGTTTCCGGAGCTAATTGGGATTTCGTCGGACTTGGCTGTCCCCGCAGGATTTCCTGACAACAACGTCGCGGGGTTCTGTGGCATTGGAACCATCCAAAATTTTGGTGGCCGATATCAATTGCAGGATGTATGTGAGTTTGGAGAAGAATGCAGCGGGTTTGTTCATCAGGATTTCAAGCCGGTTGATCCAACTGTGGGGGAAAATTGGGTATGAATTCACTTTCTTTCTGTCTCTTTTCTGCATTGTATGGTGTTTTAAGATTTTATGAAATGGTTTAAACCAATAAATACAGATATGAAATATTAGCTTATGTAAATGTACTTTGGGGTACTTAATTCTTATTACCTTTCTTGTAACTCTTTTTAACAGGGAATTCAAGGCAGTCGAATGCAGCCGGCTATGGAAGACAGCAATCTTAAGGTTGGCCGGTATTCAGTAGAAGAAAGGAAAGACAGAATTCTTAGATACTTGAAGAAGCGAAATCAAAGGAACTTTAACAAGACTATTAAGGTTTCTTCCTTTTCTCTGATCTCCCTTTCTCTCTGTCTGTCTGTTTGTTTAGATGTTATATACAACAAGAATGTGCATTGACTCTATTTCATTGCTTATTATACAGTATGCTTGCCGGAAAACCCTAGCTGACAGAAGGGTTAGAGTCCGGGGAAGATTTGCCAGGAACACTGAACTCTGTGAAGAAGAAATGGTGATGAAGAAGGAAGATGACAATTCACCCAGTGAGAAAAACTCGTATTGCTGGGATTCGGTCCAGGTACTTAAATTTCCCACATAACTATCTTCATTTATATTAATGTCTAATTAGATAAATGGAAGAAGAAGATCTAGGATATAACTTTTACATGTAAAAGTTGTTGACAGGATCATCTCATGTCAGAAAAGATTCATTTATTTACCATTTAGAAGGACTTAAGTTCCCTCTTCAGGCAATGATGTTTTGTCAATTTATTGCTTTGCAGATAAAGCATGATGAGGATGAGTGGCTGCAAGAGGCTATGGCAAATCTGATGTATTTACCTTATATTGCTGGTTGATGTAATATAATAGAGCTAGCTTGTATTTCTAATGGATTACTAATGGGAAGTCTAAAAAGAAGGCGGTATGCCTTTTTTTGTTTTACTTTGTAATTTTGTAAAAGTACTCTAACCATTCTAATGTTGGTGTTGTCATAGCAATTGCTTTCAAATTGATTGTTTTCAAATGAACTTTATTCGCATATAGAATTATAAGAAAGAAGAAAGTCATAGAGTCATGGTATACTACTTTCATTTTCATTTTAATGCTTAGAAAATGACATAAAAGCTTTGGAAGAACAATGGTATTGACATCCTTAAAGTAAGGCGAAATATCTGCAGTTGTTTCACTAAATTTAGAGATAGTACTAGTCATTCTCATGGTTTGCAACCATTTTGCATACATAGTAGCTAAGGATTAAGCAGAGGACATGACCCTTGTAATTAACATGCATCTCACAGCCCTATCTAGACCATTTTAATAAGTAATTAAATTTTTTGATAGTATTTATGATTGAAGTTGGTCAGAGTGAATGAATCAAGAGCTCAATGGTTCATGGCGTAATAAGGAATTAGCATTTGAATTCTCCCACGCAACCGGAGAATCAATATACAGCATAAAGAAAGGAAAAGAGAAAACGACATCAAATTCAAAAAATAAAAAATTGGTTAGATGTTGACAGACTCGAAAGCGTACATTACATTTGGTCCAAAGATGAACTTAACTATGCGAGGAAACTATGTTTTGCCCCCAAAGCCAAAAATAATAGCAAGAAAGGCACAACAGGTAAGTATGAAAAATGAACCAAGTCAAGTCAAGGAATATTAACTTTAGTGCTTTGATGTTTAGAGCAAAAACCCAAGCTAATTATTGGCCAAGCCGCTCTCTTGAAGGGTATTGATGGCGAAATGTAATCGCATTTGATGCTAAAAGGGCAGAGGCGTCCTAGTTATCGATCCATCTTGCTAGGAGAGAATTGGCTTGAAATGAAATAGTGAGCCTTAGAGATTATGATATGAAAGGGGAATATTTGACTAGTCGTTGCCTTGTACTAGTTCAAGTTGTGGTTCTCTAGCTACATAGAACCACCTCCAAATTCCATATCACTTTTATATATTTGATGCCAAAATGATCAGTGCATTTGGCCTTCAAATCCTTCTTTTGGTTTCTCATATAGGCCCCTCTGGGGTTGTTCCCCGCGGACGTCTTTTCCAAACCATCCCACATGATCACTCGCCGCAATGAATTATCTTGCGACCAAATCCTACTTTATCTTCCAAGAACCTAATGTTGTGATCCATTTCTATCCATTTAGAGTTACTATTGTAATTTCATATTCATCCAATTTATTCCTCCACAAAAAAAAAAAATTATACTTAAGTGTAAGAGCACTAGGATGAATTTCTCATTGCATTTCCATTTTTTTTCCTTTGAAGATGGTGTAGGGACGATGAGGGGGGTGGTGGTGGGGAAGTGTGCACCATTATGCTCACGCTAAGCAGCTTCCTAGGTGTCTACATATGTATGGCTTGATTGACCCAGTAAATTGGCATCAACTCTGACTCCATGCCCATCTTTCCCAGACCCATGCTAGATGTTTTATATTGTTCATAAAGGTACTCATAGAATTTTAACGTATATATATACATATGTGTATATATATATATATACACATATATATATGTATAGAGAGAGAGAGAGAGAGAGAGAGAGAGAGAGAGGTATGAAAATATATTTGTACGTAAAAAAAAAATCAATTGAATATATATAGTTGAAGGATATTTCTTTATATAAAAACTCTTTTGAACGAAGTTTTTACACAAACTTATTATTATAATTTTAAAATTAAAGATATTGTTTTAAATTGTGAAACTTGAATAATTGATAAAAATGTCAAAAAAGGGCACATGATAAAAATTTCATAGGCGCAAAAAGTTAAAAAATACACATTATATAAATCTCGTATGTGAAAAGAACACATAGCAACATGATGATTTGACCTACATTGTCCACAAAGCCTATAAATGTGCTATATAGATATATCAATCCGAAGATTCAAGTGTGTACGCAAACATACTTGTTAACAATTGGGCTGACTTAAATTGGCAAAGGCTGGACTTTGGGAACCCAAGACAAGCAAGTCAAACAAAGGAAGATATCAATAGCAAATTAGCCTAGATTGTACTGTGCCCAAAAATGGTCAAAATTATATTAGGTAGGTTTACACAAGCAAATTTGAGATAGTCAACATGAACATGAGAAAGCAATGACAGGAAATTGTGTCTTTTCTTTGTTTACATTTGATTGCTTAAAAGGGGTAGGGATAAGGAAAAGAAAAGCAAATGGGTGTCACAAACTAGCCTTCTTACAATCGTAAGAAAGCACTATCCCAAAGTGAACTGAAGTGACCCCATTAATAATTTAATTCGTTATAAAATTTTCTTATTCTCATTTCTCACTGATGAACAATGTGGAAATTAATTTCTTGTCATCAATAGCTTTGACTTTGAGGCTTGGAGGTTGGGACTTCAATATTAGAGGAATTTCCTATACTTTGTTCTCACGGTTTAGATTAGGTTTTTTGGTGATACTTTTGGGATATATTATAGATCTTGTTAGTGCAACTATTGAAGATCTGATTCCATATCTGGTTGAAGATTCTGTATCTAGTTGAGGGTTTGGCGGGAAATAACAGAAAGTTGAAGGTTGAAGAGGGATGTTCTTTGTACGGTTTCAATTTTCTTTTGTTTCTTGTTTAGTGTCGAACGTTGAGTAGCTTTGTCATTTTACTTCTTTGTAACTAATGTAGTGAAATGGTGGATACAAGTGTCATTTTCTTATTTCCTGTATTTAAAGTTGCACGACACTTTCTTATGTCGTTTAGGTCTTGTTACTTTAAGTTTTTCTTGTACACATAATAGTGCTGTCATTTTAGTTCTTCTTGTTGGAGGCTTAACAACCATGTCTACTAGTTTGAGTTTGTTACCGTTAGCACTACACATAAAGTAATGTAATATTTTTTGTGCTTAGTTGACTTACCTTGATTTAATCTCCCAATGCTGAATCTAAGAAATTTACAACCTTTTGGAGAGTATATAAATGAAAATGCAACCGTTATATAGTGTATGTTGATGATTCTTTGATATATTGCTTTTCAATCAATTTTTCCCTATTCTCTAAGTGTTCATCATTTTTTCGAAAAGGTTTTTCTTTAAAACTTCTTCATGGTGTCAGAGCTGCGTTTCTCAAAAGATATGTGATTCAATTTTTGAGTTAGTTTTCTTGACTCAATTTATGGCTACAGTTGGTTTTAGAGTAGCCACTTCTTTAGTCTTCTTTGTTGACAATTATCCCATTTAGGCAGTAAAAATACACTCATATCTGAAGGCATATGACTTGTGGGATGTTATTGAGTATGGTGAAATCCTAGTGTAAAGGCATGCTAACCCCACTATAGCCTAAATTAAGCAGCATAGTGAAGAGGTTGCTAAGTGATATAAAGCCTTTATTTGTCTTCAATCAATTGTTTCAGAGTCAATCTTTGAAAAGATTATGAACTATGAGGATTCGAAGAGAGTTTGGGATATCTTGAAGGAGGAATATCTAGGTAGTGATAGAACAAGGGTTTTGTAGGTGTTGAACCTCTCAAGATAGCTTAAGCTGATGAGAATGAAGGAAAGAGAAGGCATTCAAGACTATACTGACAAATTGCTAAAGCTTGTGAATCAACTTAGGTAGTTGGGAGAAGAAGTGAGTAATAAACGAGTAGTCAACAAGATCCTAGTTTCAAAGAGATTTGAAGTAAAGATCTCATCCTTAAAAGACTTAAAAGACCTAACCAAGATCTTTATTAAGGAGCTCATCAATGCTCTACTAGCTCTAGGGCAAATAAGAGCATTTAGAGGAGAAAACTTTTTTAAAAATGCCTCAGTGGTTAAGACAAAAGTCTTGAAAGTCAGGGAAAATAATTCAAAGAAAAATGATGGGAAAGGAAGCAAAGTTGATGAAAAGAAGAAGGGTAATGTTGTAGATAAATACCTTAATTGCCTTAATTGTAAGAAGAGAAATCATACAACAATATATTGTTGGTATAAGCCCGATGTCAAATACAAGTCTTGCCAACAGATGTGAAAAGCCAGGAAGTTAGTAGTTGTAGATCAAGTTGATGTAGCTGAGCAGACTGAAGAAGTTAAGGGGGTTCTATTCATGGCTAAAATGGGAGATGACTATGTCATAACAAACATCTAGCTATTGGATAGTGCTTGTTTTCATCACTTGACAAGTAGTGGAAGCTTGTTTACTAATTTGGACACTAATTTTAAGTCCAAAGTCTAAATTGGGAATGGTGAATGTTTAACAATTCTTGGTGTGGGAACTGTGATTGTTGAGATAGCATCAGGCTTAAAACATATATATAATGTTCATTCCTGAAGCAAACCATAACCTGCTCAATGTTGGACAACTAGATAAAGACCATTACGCTTTATTATTTAAAGATGAATACTATACTGTGTTTGAATCATGTGCTGATGAAGTGTTTACTGTTTGAATGAAGAATAATTTCTACCTTGTGAATTTAGTAAATTCCATTGATGTAGCATTTTATAGTAAACTTGATCTATTTGAAACTTGGCATAGGAGGTTAAGTCATGTGAGTTACAATTCACTAAACCTTATGTCTTCAAAAGAACTAGTTGATGGGTCACGTAGGATAAAAAAATCATATAAATTGTGTTCAGTATGTCAGTTTGGAAAATAGGCTAGAAAGTCATTTCCAAAAGTAAGTGAAAGGCAACTATGAAGTTAAAACTGGTTCATATTGACATTAGTGGACCAATGAAACACCTTCATGAATTGGGAGTAAATATTATATTTTGTTTATTGATGACATCACAAGGTACTGTTGCTATACTTAATGAAGCAAAAATTTGAGGCTTTGAAGAACTTCAGGAAATTCAAGGCATTAGATGAAAATTATTGCAATATGAAGATTAAATCTTTGAGTAGTGATAATGGAAGGGACTACACTTCAGAAGAGTTTGAAAAGTTCTTATCAAAGCTTGGAGTGCATCATCAACTTACTTACCTACAACCTTCATTAGAATGGGAAAGTTGAAAGAAAGAATAGAACACTAGCTAAAATAGGGAAATGCTTGCTTTATCAGGTAAATTTACCTAAGAAGTTTTAGGCAGAGGTAGTAAATACTGCTAATTGTATATTTAATAGGTCATATACGAGGGTCTTAGAACATAAACTTCCATTTGAAATGTGGTTTAGACATAAACCATCTGTTTCACACTTAAAAACATTTGGTAATGTGTGTTATACTAAAATCCCTGATGAGAAGAGAACAAAATTTGATTCTAAGGCAAATGTTGCTTTATTAGTAGGTTACAATGAAGCATCAAAAGGCTACAAACTCTAGAACATTGAAGCAAAGAAGATACTAATTAGTAAAAATGTCAAGTTTGATGAAGGGCAATACTAGAACTAGGAAAAAGGAACTGTTGAAAGCTTGGAAAAAGTTATTGTTTCTGATGAAGATCTCTCACAATTTAATAGTGATGAGGACTTAGATATTAAAGATGAATCAAAATCAGTAAGAGGAACAAGGAGTTTCAAGGACATTTATAGTAGATGCAATGTAATTGTATCAGAACCAACTAGTTTAATGGAAGCTGTATCAGACAATAAGTGGAAAGATGCTATGGATGCTAAAATGTCAATGATTACCTAAAATGATACATGAATTTTAGTTCATAAACTTGAAGACAAGAAATGTGATAGGAGTTAAGTGGATTTACAAAATTAAACTAAATCCTGATGGTTTTGTAAATAAGCATAAAGCCAGACTAATGGTGAAAGGATATGCTCAGGTGTATAGGGCTGATTATTAGGAAACTTATACTCCTGTAGCAAGCATGATACCATTAGGATGCTTGCTGCTTTGTTAGCTAAGGAGGGATGGAAATTATATCACTTAGATGTCAAATCAGCATTCCTAAATGGTTATCTTTATGATTATATTTATATTAAACAACTTGAAGGATATGAACTACAAAAACACTAGGGTAAAGTTTGTAAACTGATAAAAGCATTATATGGCCTGAAACAGGTTTTTAGAGCCTGGTATGACAAGGTTGATATTTCAAATGCAAAAAGTTCCAAAGAAGCCTAAATGAATTCACTTTATATGTAAAAAGCTCAAATGGTGTAGTGTCACTCATTGTTGCTTTGTATGTAGATGATTTGTTACTAGTCTTAAAGGTAATCATTTAATTGAGTTCAAAACTCAGATGATGGAAAAATTTGAAATGACTTATTTAGGGTTAATGACTTACTTTTTGAGAACTAAAGTGCCGCAATCCACGGATCAGAATTCCTAGTATCAAGCCAAGTATGCTAGGAATCTATTAAAATGATTTAAGATGAGTTCATGCAAAGCTATCAACACACCTTTCTCTATTGGTTCCAAGTTCAGCAGAGAAGATGGATCAACTAAAGCAAGTGGACAAATTTACCGAGCATTATTAGATCTCTTTTGTGTTTGTTTGGAACCAGACTTGATATAATGTTGGTTATCAAGATTTATGTAAGAACCATCAAGTTTACACTTCAAAGTTGCCAAAAAGATATTAACGTATGTCAAAGGTACATTAGACTTTGGCTTAACCTACATAAAGTGAGATAATAGTCATTTCTTAGGCTACTGTGATAATGATTAGGCTGGATCTTGGGATGACTTAAAAACTACAAAAGGGTTTTGTTTTTCATTTGAAAGTGCTGTGTTTGCCTAAAATTCCAAAAAGTAACAAGTGGTGGCTTTATCTACAATTGCAACAGAATACATAGCTTGTGCAGCAGCTACTAATCATGCATTGTGGTTGAGGAAGGTCTTATTGGATCTAGGATTTGAACAAAAACAAGCTACTCTAATTTGTGTTGATAATATGTTTGCTATTGCTATTAAAAAGAATCTAGTTCAATATGGATAGACTAAACATATCGGGGTCAAACATCATACCCTTAAGGAGATTGTGAAAGAAAATAAAATTGATTTGAGACATTGTAGAATAAAGGATAAGTCGGTTGACATATTCACTAAGTGCTTGGGTAAAGAAAGGTTTGAGCATATGATACAGGAGTATAATATTTAGGTTACTTATGCATTAAGTCAGATTAGGTTTAGTTTTCTTTTTTACTTTACTTGTATTCCAAGAAAGTTTAGGTTAGGTTATTTATTTATTTATTTAGGAATTGTAATAGCCCCACATGGGAAAGTTAGAAGACTCTTTTCTTTAGGAATAATTATATAAAGCCCTCTTAGCTTAATTGTTAGACACATTCAAGTTGAGATTAAATAAATTTTTGTTTTTAGTAAGTAGGAGTGCTTATTTTCTCTAAGTTCTTTTTAGAAGAGTAAGAGATTTTAGTATCTTTAGTTTGGACAACCAAAGTGGGATTTTGGACATTACTCACCTTAGTGGGGTTTCCTAACCTCACCATGATTGGTGTTCACCTTAGTGGGGTTTCTAACCTCACCACAATTGGTGTTTTCACAACGCCCTAATGTCTTCATAACATCCTAGTGTTAGTTTGATATTAGAGTGAGAGGATCATTGTTCGTTACATAGTTCGGGTTCCTATTGGGTTTCGACTCCCCTTTGTTTGAGTAATTTTGTTTCTTTTATTGTTTTATAGTTCCGTCATATTTTTTTTTCTGCATCACTACATCATTATCACCATACGATAAAATGCCATCAAGACCCTAACATCGTCAAAGGGATGTTCACGAGATTGAGGCAGAGGAATTACATCACCAAGTTCAAGAATTACAAGAGCAACTTGCAAGATGAGATGCTGCTCATATCAACAACAATAGCTCCAGTGTTGAAGAGGATAATACCAATCCTTTCCATCAAGAATCGTCTTCTGATGAAGAAGTACTTATACATCGCTTAAGAGTTACTGCTAATAAAGATTTTGAAATCAAGGTAGACATTCCCGAGTTTAAAGGAAGGTTTCATCTTAATGATTTTCTTGACTGGCTCTACATAATGGAAAGAGTTTTCAAGCTCAAAGATTCTCCTGATGAAAAATGTGTGAAACTAGTTACAATTAAATTGAAGAAGCACGCCTTTATTTAGTAGAAAAATATCAAACGGTAACGAGAAAAAGAAAGTTGTAACAAGATCAGAACACGGGATAAGATACATGGAGAACTCAAGCGTAAGTTCCTTCCTGAGCATTTTCGACAAGAAATTTTTATTAAATTTCATAACTTGAGATAGAGAACAATGTTGGTGGAAGAATACACAATGGAGTTCGAGCAACTTCACATGAAGTGCGATGTCCAAGAACCTGAAAAGCAAACTGTAGCTCGTTATCTTGGAGGTCTCAATGTTGAAATTGTAGATGTTGTTCAACTACAACCATATTGGAACTTTAATGATGTCATTAGATTAACATTAAGGTTAAGAAACAACGATCACAAAAAAGCTTAGTGAGTTGATCTAGACAAAAAAATTCTAGTTCAAACTATGGGAGACAAAATTCAGCAACCATTCCGCTTTCAACAGTAAACTCTTCCAAAACTGCAAGCAAAAATGATAAAGAAACTGCTTTTATTCGTGCTTTTAATGTCAATAAGAAGTGCTTCAAATGTCAAGGATTTGGACATATTGCTTCTGATTGTCCAAATCGAAGAATTATCTCTTTAGTAAAAGAAGAAGTTATGGAAGAATTTATCATGGAAGAATTTATCATGGAAGAAATAGAAGACGAGCTAGAAATAATTAATGGAGATAAGATAGAAGAAGTTGTTGCTGACCGTGGAGAAGTTCTTGTCATTCATCATAACCTCAAGACTGTTATGATGAATGAAGATGAAAGTTGGCTTCGCCACAACATCCTTTATACAAGGTGCACATCCCAAAGGAAGGCTTGCAATGTTATTATTGATAGTGGAAGTTGTGAGAACGTTGTTGCCAATTACATGGTGGAAAAGTTAAAGCTTCCAATTGAGACACACCCTCATCCTTGCAAGCTACAATGGCTAAGAAAACGAAATGTAGTAAAGGTAACGAGGCATTGTTGTGTTCAATTCTCTATTGAAAATAAGTATCAAGTTGAAGCCTGGAGTGATGTTATCCCAATGGATGCATGCCATTTGTTGTTGGGACGCCTATGGCAATATGTTCATTGAGCTTACCATGACGGATACAAAAATACTTATTGCTTCATCAATGAGGGAGTAAAAATTATGTTGACTCCACTAAAGCCTGAAGACCGACTAAAGAGACAAGAGGAAGATAAAACACTTATCTCTATGTTTGGCCTTAACGAAGCTTATCATGAGTTAAGCCTCTTATACCTTTTATTAGTTTATGAGGAGAATGAAGTATCTTCATTCATACCCAAGGATGTCAAGTCTGTAATTGAGGAGTTCTATGATGTTGTACTTGATGAGATATCCCACGGACTGCCACCAATGCGAGATATCTAGCATGCCATCGATCTCATTCTTAGTTTTGTAATTCCAAACAAGCCTGCTTATCACATGAGTTCGCAAGAGCATATAGAGTTACAACATCAGGTCAAATAACTTTTGGAGAAAGGCTTGGTAAGAGTGTTAGCCTCTATGTTGTTCCTACCTTATTAGTTCCAAAAAAAGATGAAACATGGCATACGTGCATTAATAGTCGTGCCGTGAACAAAATCACCATTAAGTATCGTTTTCCCATTCCTAGACTTGATAATTTGTTGGATCAATTGCGTGGTGCTATCTTTTTCTCCTAGATTAACCTAAGTAGTGGTTATCACTAAATTCGGATGTGACCTGGAGATGAATGGAAAACTTCATTTAAAACTCGTGATGGGTTCTATAAATGGACAGTTATGCCATTTGGCCTCTCTAATGCATCCAACACCTTCATGCGCCTAATGAATTAGGTATTTCATCCTTTTATTGAGAAGTTTGTTGTGGTTTATTTTGATGATATTTTTGTATATAGTAGAAGTTAGAAGGAGCATTTGAAGTATTTATGCTAGATCTTTGAAGTACTTCAAAAGAGAAAGCTTTTTGCTAACTTAAAGAAGTGCGAATTTATGGCAAATAAAGTTATCTTTTTAGGATATGTTGTGTCAAGCCAAGGAATTGAAAGGGACCAAAGCAAAGTTGATGCTATTATCAATTGGCCAGTTCTAAAGTCACTCCATGATGTTCAAAGCTTTCATGGATTGATATCTTTTTATCAACGTTTCATCAAAAATTTTAGTTCTATTGCAGCTCCACTTACTGAATGCCTCAAGTAAGATAGTTTTATATGGAATACCCAACCATAACATAGCTTTGAGGAATTAAAAGAGAGGATTTCTAAGGCTCTCGTGCTTGCATTTCGAATTTTGATTTAGTGTTTGAAGTTGATCCTTCAATGTAGTTAGTAGCACTGTTCTATCTCAAGAGGGATGACCAATTGCCTTCTTTAGTGAGAAACTCAATGATGCAAAGTTGAAATACTTAACGTATGATAAAGAGTTTTATACCGTTATTCGAGCCTTGGACCATTAGAGCCACTATTTGTTGCCAAAGGTATTTGTCTTGTATTCTAACCATGAAGCTCTTAAGCATCTCAACTCTTAACACAAGTTTAATCGCCGACATGCAGCTTGGAGTGAATTTCTTCAAGCTTTTCCAATTTTCCTCAAGCACAAGTTAGGTGTGCAAAACAAGATAGTTAATGCTTTAAGTCATCACCTTACTCTTATTTCTACCTTACAATTAAAGGTTGTTGCTTTTGAAGTCGTGAAAGAATTGTATAAGAAAGATCTTGAATTTATTGAGATATGGAAGTCCAGTTCTTAACATCCTTATCGACAATTTCACCAACAAGAAAGGTATCTTGTCAAAGGTAACCAACTGTGCATTCCTCAATGTTCTTTACACCAATCTATTATTTGGGAAGCTCATAATGGAGGAGTAGCTGGACACTTTGAGAGAGACAAAACATTGGCTCTTGTGAAAAAAAAAAATTATTGGCCCAAAGTGGAGTGAGATGTCATCTGACATATTCAAAGGTTTTGTACTTGCCACACTGTAAAGCTTGAAAATCAAAACATTGGTATGTATAAATCGTTACCCATTCCTGAAACTCTATTGGTAGATATGAGTATGGATTTTGTTTTGGGTTTGCCTAGAACTCAAAGGCAAAAGGACTTTGTAATGGTGGTTGTCGATAGATTTTTCAAAATGGCTCATTTTATGCCATGCCATAAAACAGATGATACTTCTCACATAGCTGATTTGTATTTCAAAGTGTCAGTTAAAATTCTATTACACAAGTATACGTATCAAATAGATAGTATATAAGCAAGCAGAGTATCGATCCCATAGAAAATTGATATAAAATTTTACTAAGTACTAAAATTATAACAATTTAATCTTATCCAAACAATCAATATCGAATAATTAAATTAACTAACTAAAAATACTTAACCAAAATTTAAACTAAGAAAAAATCAAAATAATAATAACTTGAGTAAATATCAAATCAAACAAGCCTAGGATTACAATATCCCTTACGTTTCATCTAAATTTTACCTCTCATCCATTACTTATTTCAATGGGTTAAATTGCTAACTCAGAGGCCTAATATATTTATAAAGGTCTCTCGACTCATTTATAAAAATATATAATTTAACCAAAACACTATATCTTTATGTGAATTGAAATTAAAATAGATTCATTAAGTTCAAACACTATATCTATTTCCCAAGTTTGTTTAGGTTCCT